AACAAAGCAAGTGCTCCGTTCTTAGTCATCACTGTGAAGCCTCATTGAACTTTCATTGTATAAGTGATCGATAAAATTTTAGTATAATCATGATTGAAACCTACCACTAATATGAGAAATATTTAGGAACTTTAAAATGTAACTAAAAACAGAAAAACCACCGTTCCTTAAGGGTTACAGATGCCGCAAGCTTTCTTTAAATTAGTGAACCATTCAATGCATACTATTCGTCTTGTGAGATTAACCAGAGGATATTTCTATTAGTGCTACACTACCAATACACTTCTAAGCAAATCACAAATTACTTTTCCTCATTTTCAATGCTACTTGCTCCACAGCCTTTCGGTTATTTAATTCATCATAATACTATATCAAACATCTGCGCTTCCTCAAGTACTAGTAAAAAACTATAGATATAATACAAACAGAGTCGCCTCTTTACAGTATCACTGAAAAGCATATATAGAAAAAACAGCGACCTACTTTCTTGATTCCCACCCAAAGCGAAATACAATTAGTGCAACAGACGAACTAGACCCCACCCACTAACGAATCTTTCACCCAAACCACTATGACAAAGAACATAAAATCACCCAGAATCACGAAAACAAAAATATTTATACAGGTAGGGAACAATATTCGTTGAGGGTGTGGGTGTGGGTGTGGGTGTGGGTGTTAGTATTATCTTTAATGCACCCACACCCACGCCCACACCCACACCCGCACCTACACCCACCCACACCCACACCCACACCCACACCATACACCCACACCCACACCAACACCCGCACCCACACCCACACCCACCCACACCCTCATCTCACTCTCCTGCATCGATCTATGTGAGGTTTCATATAATATCTCCAATCTACTGAGAACCAAAGCCTCCTTGACGGATTTCCAGAATACTTTACAAAACTTTAAGTTTTATGATTAATTTTTTGTTTCTGTCAATGGCTAAACATATACCAATCTGCCAACCAAAACTTATCGAAACCATATCTATATGACTTC